TTTGCTAGGTCAATAGTGTGCGAAATAGGGAGTTTGTTTTAAGTGAAAAAAAACCTGACTGCAAAGGCAGAATAGTAGCAAAATATGAAATGCAATAGCTGTACACTATAAGTATTAAGGTTTCGTAGTAAGAATAGTTTGGGTCCAGAATCCGACAGGATTCATGGATTTTCAGCTTCCGCATTTGGTGAGGAAAGAGTTCATGCGCATATATAAAAGACACCCTTATCCGCGTGCGTTTAAACTCTATTAGTGTTTCCGGTAGTAAAAATAGGCACCTATAAGGGAGTCCTACACATACCCCGTTTGAAACTTATACTTTGGAACTTAGCTGTTCTAATAGACAGCAGCTTTGGGCGGACAGACACCATTGATTACGGTAATCATTTTTTTTCACCAGTGGCCTTTGTTCTCGCACACCAACGACTTGCGGGGTGGAACCACTTGAGAACGTAGCCAGCCACAGGTGTGAAGTAGGCAGGTGTTAAGCGCCTGTGAATTTTCCGACCCTGGAACAATACACGCCACACCTCCCGCCCCATTAATTCACCACCGAGGTGACGCGGTGTGGCTCTCTCACACATGAGACACACCCTTATTCAGTTCCGCCCACAGCGCCGTCTTCCTGAGACGTGTGTGCGCGCAGGCCTAGAGTCGAGTGCACGTAGAAATACCGGAATAGCTCCAGGGTTCGGAGAGCATAGTAAACGCGTCCCCTCCCAGCTGGTGTGCGTTTCACCTTTTCCTGTTTACAAGGACTTGGCCCGAATACTGTCCCTCCTTCTCTATTCGAGTTAGAGGTAGTTCTTCCCCGTGTGTAGGGCTCAATTGCATTACGTCTACATGAATCTCTCTACAAACAAAACCAACCGCTTTCTGATGACAAGATAGAGCCAGGAACGCAGAAGGCGGGTGTGGACGCAATGGAGGGCAAACCCGTCCACGCATGCCAACACGACTTTTTGTAGATGTATATTTGAACGTTCGCAGGCAAAGAATGCCCTTGATGACCCTATTAATGTGAAGTAACCATATCCTTTTTACAGTCAATATGGAATTGTGGACAGTTAACATAGCACACATTCGGGTGAGTTGTCGCGGAACAATGCGACACAGTACGAAACCAAAGTAGAGCTGGGAAAATGGATACAAGGCTGGCAATAAGAAATCATGTTGTGATAGTCGCCTTTTGCCAAATATAAGGCCATCAAGTCTTGCTTTAACATAATCAATGGTGTCGGCGGAAACCACCTCGCTTGGCAGCGAGTTCAAAGGTCCTACCACTCGTTGGCTGAAGAAAAACTTTCTGAAGTCTAATCAAGTGAAAGATTTTCTTCAGCTACCTGCTACCTCACTCCACATGTACTAGGCCTCAATCCAGTGCAGAGATTCAGACATAACTCACAGAAGCAAGTGTCACACTAAAGTCAAGCTAGAAAAAGCGTTGTCTTCTTTTTTTTTTTTACCAAAATTCACAGTCAGGACCGGCATTGCGTCGTGATATTTTTAGGGCGCAGTTGCTGGTTCACAGTTGAGGCAGTAAAAGCCAAAAAATTATCAGAGCTAAATCTACTTTATCTCGCCCCTATGCATTAGTGGTCTGTTTGAGGCAAACCGACTAGTATTTTCAATGAGCACTGCGGCTGATGTGACCTGATTTGATCATCAATTGTGTGCTACACACGGGTACGGGTAGAGGAGTGAGAGATGTCATCAGGGCCAAAGTCTGGTTCATGTGAAATTGGGACCTAAAACACCCACACCCCACAACCAGTCCTCTTAAACTTGTATTACCACCACAAGGCGGTGAACATATGAATGGCGGGTCAGGCATCGGTTTCCAACGGCTGCCTTACCTGAAACTAATTGAGGTACACGCCAGTAGCAAGCGTGTTTGTCCAGTATTTGCCCCTTCTACGTACTTTAAGCTATTTTCAATTCGCTAGGCCACAGGTAAGATGTGCCCTAGGAAAGTCAATCACCAGCTAGAAATGGTCCTTCCCGATTCTTAAAGTGGCCAGCAATGTACATTAAAGTGACCACTAAGTGGTTGCCTTCGCTTCGTAGTTTTTTTAGGACACGCTAATCTTTAACGGGTCGAAGTTCGAATTTCGCCAAAACAGATTCCCGCTATGCTAGAAGGTCAAATTAGCAGTGCCTGCTTGACGAGAATATCGGTAGCAGTAGCGAAGAGTTTTTCTCCTTCAATAACACCAACAACAACAACACGGTGCCTTTCCCACTCCACGTGCAAGCGAATGTGCTTAAGTCGGGGAGGTCAACTGCTGGTTTATGATCATGCAGCATAGCACCAGAACGCTTCCCCATATTTTGAAAGACCACTTTCCAAAGCTCAGGATTGACTTATTCCTCTCCTAAGTGAGACTTAATCATCGCAACTGACATGCTTTGTGAAATGGAAATGGCAACGCTGAGACGCGACTTTGCATTTTCAATGTCAGCTGTTTGGGAATTATTTCCCCGTCAGACGCCCCCTACTATTTCTTGAGGTTTTTTTCGCGACCCGGGAGTTACTCAGCACGATGAATATTAGAGGGAAGAAGACAGCTTTGTCCAATGAATACTCTTTTCGCAGTCCACGGCCCTAACAGCTGACAGTGAATCGTCGTGCTAATTCATAAAGACCAATGCACTACTGTTGTGTTGTCTTGTCCGCCGTCTAGATCTTGGAATAAGTTGCGTTAAGTTGAGGTGGAACCCGCCAAAAGGCACATGACAGTATTCTTATCATGACAAGGTTTCAGAGCAGGCAGA